AAGTCTCCTCCGCCGCCAACTTAAGAATACCAAGGTACCGGAAGTCCGACAAACTAACCATTGAAGTCCGCCCTCGGCGAGTGTTCGCCAATGCTCATACTTATCATATCAACGCCATTTCGGTAAACTCCGACCAAGAAACTTTCCTATCCGCTGATGACTTGCGTATCAATCTCTGGCACTTGGATATAACAAACCAGTCTTTTAGTACGTTTCTTATCAATATTGATGTAACCTGCGGCCTCAGCAAACTTCACCACTTCAGCGCACTTTTATATCACTTCGAAAAGCGTATAATGTTCCCTGACTCCATCTAAGGTATGTGTGTAAGTTAACGGATTATAATACTGTGTATGTCGCAGATTTAGTTTTCTTCGGGACCATCAGCACCATGGCCCAAGAGGAATTTGATTGTGGGTCAGATGGTTAAGGCGGTAACTCACTTAATAATTTATACCGATGCTCACATGAAGCGTATTTCAGGTAACTGCAATGTTAATGCACTATCGTGTTCTATGCATCCTGGTGGCTGGAAGCATCATTGACTGAGGATCAAAGGGAGGGGGCGGGCTCGTTCATTTAATGAACAATTATATCCAGACGCTGCATGCATAGGCGTCTCGCTCTTGTCTTACTACCTGATGTATTTTGTCCCAATCGGCTTCTGTAGTACAGGCTCCGCGTATTAGGCATTACCTAGAATATAGATGTCACGATCATGTCGCTCACCACACCGTCAAAATGCGGTCGACATACCGCATAAGTGCATCCTTTACCAAAATCTCGAAGCTCTCTCCTCCCCATTTTGTCAGAATAAACAGCCGCCCATGTATTGTCGCTCTCGATCTCGTCTGAGTCTAAAGGCTTAGGCTAGTAAAGTTACCCTTCCAATGATCGTATTTATAGATTGCCCGGACAGCTGCCAAGCGTAGCCGAGTGAAATTATGTAGGCCGTAATTGACAAACAGTAGTTGCGTACTAGTCGTTTGAATACTTCTTTTTTTTCACTAATTCGCTATACCGCAACTGCAGAAAGTTTTGCACTAGCTGCTGATATGCTTTTGGTTTTTAAGTAAAACAAAAAAGAGGTTGGGCCTGCCAAACAGACTCATCTAGGGATATTAGCTGTCATTACTGTCTGAGTATTCTATTTCTGTGCAAGCCTTAGGTTTAAAGATCTCAGCTTTGACATGTAACTTTATGTCCAGTTCTATGAATGAGGCGTTCGCACACAGCCTCTCAGACAAATGAATTATACGTCTAAGGAGACAGGCCGTATTGAATGCCGACAAGAAGCTCCCCACACTATCGTCCATATGCTCGTTGTTTTCCCGCTGAGCAAATTTTTCTTTTACTTAGTTAGTCTTTACAAGGTAGGATGATAGAAATTCTGTCTATTTCTTTGCGTTTTTGCTAGAAACTTGGTTTTTCATTAAAACCGAAGCTTTGGCCACAAAAGCCGCAGATAAGACTGCCGTTCAGTTAATTATTGATTTACTATCATCATTCGACCTTTTTAATTTTTATGAACCGCAAGATTTCCCCTAAAGAATTTCCACTATATAAGGTAATGCGAAGTACCTCTTTCTTATTTCGCCCGACAAATACTATCGTTCCATTAACGCAAATCATACGCAAGATAACTTACAACACAGATTTTGAACGCAGTTTGTAAGTGCAGCTTCCGTTGTTTCTTCTGCGCCTGTCTCATAGCCTGTTCTTCTAAGATTGTTCGCCGCTTTCCGTTTAAACTGGGTGGAATACGGTCATTCCTAGCGAATTTCGACAAATAGTCGTTTTAAAGAGCACGCGGTAACGCCATAGTCTCAACGCCCTCCTCCCTCAGTCGCCGTTGCTGCAGCACTATACAGATCTGCGCATTGAATTTCATACGTTCTGTCAAATCAGTGCTCTCGGAATTGAGCTTTTTATGTTTGTTTTCTTGTTTAAATACAAAGGCGAATGAAATTGGACAGGAAACTGTGAGATTGTCAAATGTCAGCCAGCTTTCAGTTGTCACCTGGATATTTGTTGATGCTTATTGAGTCGTTGTAATGTTTGCATGCTTTTTATTTTCTCTTTTCTCACAGCTATAGTCGATCTCAAGCCCGCTAACATGGAGGAGTTATCTGAAGTAATAACCTGTTCACGTTTTCATCCTGAGCATTGCCATCTGTTCGCTTACTCCACAAGCCGGGGTGTTGTCCGCCTTTGTGATATGCGCCAGAGCGCCCTCTGCGATAACCACCTTATGGGTAATTGTTTTCCGTCATTCGTTTAGATTTTATGTCTGCTCCTCGTCTTTAATTTTAATGTCCTTGCATGTCTTAAAATTTTGATAGTTGACTAGCGCTCTTCCGTTAGGTATACCATTCCACTAGCTATTTTCCTTTCTGTCCAAACTCCGAACCTCCGATTGCGATGTAACATTTAGATTAACTTATTCACTCAGTAGTCTCGCGTGTTTTTTTTTTACTAAAACCTTTGTGTCTGTTAATTAAGCAATTATTGTGTGACGGCGTACAAAAACAGCCTTTTTGGATTGTAGTTGGTGAATATCAACCACCTTCCTCTGATGAGACTGTTGCTCCCAGATTCTGGAATCTGTTCATCCCTCTTGACCGTTTTCGGCCTATGTTTTAGCAGTAAAATGACTGTTCTGACGTCCACTACCTCTGCTGTTATCGGCCGTAAAACCCTTTCGTCTAACAACGTTTGTCAGGTCTTCTATTTTGATCTTCTGATAGATTTACCGTTTTGTTCAGTCCATTGATCTAGTGTCACCATCAGTGCCACAGGAACGTCATCCTTGGCACAGACTGAACCTTAAGTTCTTTTGCTGTTCCCAAATTCTATTTAAAAACACCGACCTTATCATACGCTTCTGCATTCGTGTCAGTCGACTAGCCTCAATTTCTTACACCGTCTTCTATTAACACAGGGCTTCTTCACAAGCGGGTTTTTATCAGTGAGAATCTTTGCGATCTAAGACGCAGCCCTAAATGTACACTGCTTTGGAGGTGCACATCTGGTCCGCTGTTTTTATAGCACAATTTACAGACGGTAATTAGGAACCTTGTAAGATTCGTCCTAGATACTTTAACTTCCGAATCCCATGCTATTGCCGCTTGTTCTAGTGTAGTTGGAGAGCTCTTGAACTTCTACAGAAGCTGCCTTAGAAAATATAACTGGAAAAGTGAATTGAATAGACATAAATACTAGAACCAGTGTTTTTGTCCAGTAGGATGAGTTGTTAATGGTTTACTGTCTAACCCTCATGCCCAGTAGTATGCTCTTCTAGTTTCTGAAATTGTTTCAGCGAAACTGAAGATATTCCACCTAGAATTGCCTGAAATTTTAAGTCCTAAATACGTCTATGTTCCCCGCACTGTTTATTCCCCCTGCCACCAATGTTGGATACTATCGAATTACAGCTGTCGCCTCCTATAGGGAAAAATCAAAGCTTACTCACGGTGTTCACCCACTGCACTGATGCCTAAAACAAGCCTTTTGGCGGAACTACCAAGACTTCTGAATAAACTGTGCCTGTCAGCTGAATGTGCCAAACGCAACGCTGTGCTTAGGGAAAAATGCAAAAAGACAGTTCGGCAGTGCTCAGTTATGGTCTCATAGCCTTTCTCTCCGATGACGACTTCTGGCCTTTCACCCAATTCCAGCCGTTGCTCTATCAGTCTCTAAGTTTCGGTTGCTGTGTTGTCATCCGTTTGAATCTCAGGAGGGTTGTCCTAGACACAGTAACATCACAGGATCGAACCAGGCCTGAAGAACTTTGTTCTGAAGAATTTACTCCACGTTCACGCTTAAATTGTAGCAGAAGTTTTAAAAAGCAGGCTCAATTCTGTCAGACATAATGCAAACCCAATAAAAAGAGTCAGGGGTCGTCTTAGAGTGTGTTGGTCTTTGAAGAAAGCGATCGTTGTAGCGTTCACCACCGTTAGGCGACTGCACTAAACTCTATTCTATCTTTACAGTTCTGGATGATCCCGCCCTCTCCCAACAACGCGGCTTCTTTGCTGACATCATTGCCAGTCTTTCTGATTTTCGTTTCGACCACTCCGGAAACTACATCCTCGCGAGGGACTACCTCAACTTGAAGGGTTCGTGCCTTCATCCATTAATTTTTAAAGACTATATGCTTTTAATTTAAAATCACGCAAATTGTTCAGTGATCTTCCAGTCACTATAATTAGGCGATAATCCTACTTGTTGATTCAAACAGTTTGCGTATATTGCACTCTCTCTAAAGACTTGCGAATTGTTTTAATTTTCGCGGAAGAACAATGAGTTTGATTTACTATTGTTGGTTGATAGTGC